TTCTTTCAGCAATTCAATTTCTGGTACATTGAAATTCGATGAAATTCTGTCATTTTTTAATAACTTGGTTAATGAACTTTATATTTATTGGTTTCAAGCTTCGAATTTTGCTGTTAAAACGTTAAAAGCTCTGAGTACCTACTGTAAATAAAATATCAGGCGAAATCATAAGTAATTTCCAATTAATCCTTTTCCAAATCAGAAAACGTAAATTATACCAATTACATTATGCGGCGTTATAATAAAATGATCCTGATGAATGAAATAACAACGAAAGAAGAGAACTTTACTCGTACAAGTAAAAAGAATTCTTTTCTAAATATGGTCAAAATTTCTATACAATATTACACACTTTTACATTCTAAAGCCAACTAATCGTCATTTATATTGAGTCGTTATCAAAACTATTGGACGGAGAAACGTTTCCAAAAGGGATTAATTTCGCTTTCTCAATATGTTATTAAAAAAATATTATACCCTGATTTTGAAATTTCTTTTACTTTGACCACTTTATACGTTTACTTTAAACACCCACTACGTTTATATTAAAACAAAGGAATTTAATATACGCGAATTGGAAAGATATATTTTGGCAAAGAAATTGGAAATTACTTTATAGTTCACCTAATTCGGGAGACAAAGCTAAATATTCGATAATCAATATTCTTAATACGATATCGATCAAAATCTATAAAAAAAAATAAAATTGAAGAGAAAGATTACACGATTCTAACATTCAGGTACGAATATATAGGTTATGTGTATCGAAACTGTATAATGGTACTTGTTACAAGTTGTATATGCATATATGAATATTCCTTTTGAATTTTTAAATCTGACTTGACATTTTATTTCTGTATCTTTCGTATTAAGAGACATTTCTGGTCTTCATTGCTACATATACACATAAATTACGTTCTTCTAAGCTACTCGATCACCTAGGATCTAGAGAATTTAGTAAGCAACTAGATATCCATGTAACTAGACACCGTTAGTAAACATAACCTAAAAGTTAATTCCTAACCTAATTTATAAAACAAGCGTTATCTTAATAGATTGAAAATGACATTAAATAGAACAAAATCTCAGTAATTCATTTAGGAACACCAATTTGTTATAAAACAAGGAAATATTTATGAGATTACTCATTCTGACGATTTAATTCAGAAAATGAGATAGAAAATTCCTGCATAGGAAAATGTATGCAAATAATCTAAGATAGAATATAATAAATAATAAGCGAGTAATCAAATATAAAAAAAGAAAATTATAAAATAATATTTTAATTATTAATATTTGAATTATTAGTAACAAAAACGCAAAATCTTACTTTGTAATCTTATATTAGTACGTATATGATCTTTGGTACACGTGTTGAATAATTAAAATTATTTTTCTGGAATTAATCATCTACCTTTTTCCTAATATATATATAGTTAATAATATTTAATTGATAGTTAACAATCTATTTGCCTAAAAGAGCAATTATATCTTAAGAAATGTAATTATAAAGCAACTATCTCAATTATTGGTAATAAAAATAGAATATCATATTCAATACCAATCTTTGATACTCGTGTCGAATAATCAAAATTCTTAAATTAACTATCTCGCAGAAGTTAACTATTTTTATCTTTCCTATGATATATATAATAGTTAATTCATAATTCTAATAGAATCTACCTTCCTAACAGACCAAGTTAACTTTACAAAATATAATTATAAAGCAATTATCTCAAGTATCGGTAATAAAAAATAAAATCTCAGTTTCTAACCTATCAATGCTCACGATCCTTGGTACTCGCGTTGAATAATCAAAATTCTTAAACTAATTTCGACTATTCATAGGTACTTTCATCCCTACGCGAATGATTCTATTAACACTTGGCAAGCTACGGTGAACACTTTCCCCTTGTTCTCACAGCAAACATTTGTCTCGAAGTTTTGCGCTCACGATCCGGAACGCGTGGAACCAAACAGCGGTGATTTGAGAAACTGAAATCGCAATTAGGATTTAGATTCAAAACTCTAAAGTTAGCGCTTACGGGTTCGGCTATGAACGCTTCGCAGAACCGCGCTAATTGTTTAACATCGTAACACCAGATGTATTCCACGCGGAATCGAAGCACAGCCGAATGCGAGTGTGCACAGGTTACACCGTAATCCACTATACGAGTCGTCTCTTTCCGCGTTTATCCTTTCACAGGACTTGTTGTGTAACTGTGTATAAACTACCAACTATCAAGAGAACTTCTCAAATTCCAATGTAACTCCATCGGGTGTTTCTACGCAAAAGATTAGGCGCCTGGTGCTAGACTATGTACGAAAGGGTACCAAAGCGTGTCCATCTTCGCTAATGGCTAGTGACTAGAAAATTTTAAGTAATTACGGAGATCACCTTATCGAACTGTTACGAAGATAAATTTATAGAGTAGAGAAGAAATGATAATATAAATTGATTAGAAATTACTTTCCTAATAATTCATTTTCGAAGAAAGATGGCGACTAGGAACTTTTGACAAGCATTGAAATATATACGAAGATTTCTTTATCGAGCCGTTATGAAAAATTCATTACACAAAGAAGAATAGGAAAATACGATCTGACTAGAAATTATTTATACAGTGTTTGCACGTCTTTGGTAATTAATTTCAAAATATAGATAATCGTTAAAAATTGCACTGTATACCGAAATGCATGTATATGAAGATTCCTCTGTTATTGATAGTGTAATTTTTATACAATCCCAGTAATTAATTTCTAAAAATATGTAACGAATAAGAATAGAAATAGAGAATAAAGAAAAATAAGAATAATTTGTACAATGTACGTTTCCAATAATTAATTTACAAAGAGGAGGTTAGATCGTGCTTACTGGAACATGTCTGGATAAAATGGAGTTGCTTATCTAATCTCAAGTTAGATAGCATTCCAGTATTTAAAGTCGGCCTGTATAAGCGAACTGCAAACTATCAAACAACTGTATAACTGAATATCAGACAATTAATTTCTATGATCACAGTGACATGGGATGAAATAGGTACTCTGACGCAGTTTATATCGCGACGAATGTACCAATGCAAACTACTCACAGTGTCCTTTTAAATGAGTTCAGTCACCACGCACACAGAGATATAATATCATTTAATTTCCGTGCTTCTAATAGAAACAATATTAGTATCGTGATAATAATTAAGAACCTTTGGTCGTGAAAATCTAGGCATATCCGTATTTCACTTGGGTTCATGACAAGCTTCCAAATTATTCGAATAAAGTGGATTGAATTATCGATTATGTGTGACTAACGTAATTAATAAACATATAGGACTCATTAACAATTAAATTATAAGAAACTTTTCGTATAAATCATCATTTAACATCGTTCGAATCTTCATACACATGGTCAAAAATAATTTATATCAATTAAGAGACAATTGTAGGTTGTCACATATAAAATGGCCACTTTCGGAAACCTTTAAACTCACTCAGTATAAGAAGCTAAAACTCCCATTAAATGGTGCTAATCAGATATCATTTGAACGTCGAAGCTGTAAGAACATTCTTTCATTACTATTTTATTGCAAAATACTACTTTATCTTTATTACAGGAAACCATTTTGCTTCCAAAAAATTTATGTCGAAGCTCGAGACTGCGTGTGGCCGATGAAACTGCGAGTAAATGAGTAATTCGGACAACCAGCGATACCAATTGACTCGAAGTTTCAGAGCTATCAAACGTCGAGGGGTGAATTGTTTGAGGAAAAGAGATAAATTTCGAAGTGGAAGAGTAGAAACATTGTCCCCAGGGAATCTGAGTAGAAAGGGCAAAAGTGCCTTCTAGTAAGAGAAGCGTGAGGAATAGCACGGCACTTATCCAAGAAGTTCATGAGAGAACGTATGATAGAGCGATTTGGCCACAGAGTGTTATACTTGTCTACTGAAACTTCTAACATATGTCAAAGCGAACTATGAGCCATCGTCGACTTCAAGTGCTTTTCTTACACGAGATTAAACTTGAACGTAACGCGATAAAAGCTGCTTGTAACGTTATTGCAGTTACTGGAGAAGTTACATCGAGAGAAGAGGCGGCATGCAGGTGGTATGAAAAATTTGGGTGGAAAAAGGGAACGAAAAATAAGAGAATTTATCGAGAATTTATCGTTAACGATCAACTAAAAATTTTACAATTATAATAGTTGTAGCTCTGTTTCGAAATTCGACCAAGATTATTTTCAATGAAACTATGGGCGTTGAAAGCTTTATCAAGAATTGGACCATTCCATTTGCAACGACCTAATATGTCAGACTGCAGCAAAATTTACCCAATCCCTTGACTACTCAAATAACTTTCCGACATGTCACTGTACACTTTGATGTCTCTCCTTCCAGAGACAACATTTGGCAACAAGGGATTAGCACACGGGGACCAAACAGATCCAGTTCAAAGAAACTCCTAGAAAGGTCACCAACGTGTGCCTCAATTACCATTAACAGTAGCTTACTCGCCAGTTGACCAAACTCAGATTGCAACTTTACCGAACATCAAATTCTGGTCATCGAGACTACACCCTCTAGCCTAATAACGCGCTACCAGAAGATACCTTGTTAATTATTCGAAGCTAGGATGGTGGTCTATAGAGTGGACCTATTCAACGAAAAATCTCGAAACTATATCTACCTGAACTGGCGTCAACTATCAGGGCAACTATCAGAATCCGTGGAATATCGGATCGTGCACCCTTTCTTTAAGACTTCCGCGACCTGAGAGCTGATAACGGATTGAGTCGTCGCCTAGGTGTGCTGTCGGTCGACGAAGAACCGCTTTTATTTTTAGAAGACTTGGATTTACTTTTCTCCTTGCTGCTCGTTGCAGAGGTTTTCACTGATTTCCCGGATTTGCTCGTGACAGTGGTCGAGCCGGTGCTCGTCGACACTGCCGTGGTCACGGGTTTATTTGCTGTACTGGGGCTTTGGGATTGGGTTTGGGTTTTAGGGCTTACTTGTACCTCACAGGGGGGTGGTGCGCTCCTGTAAGACGGCACGATTTTGAAGGTCACCGAACCTCGTGCTTCCCGCTGCAACAGAAAGCAGGATCGTTAGAGGGTGGACAAATTTGGTGATCGGCTAAAATGTAAAATTAAAAAGTTACAATTTTCTTTGCTATTGGAGAATAAGCTGTTGATTCGTTAGTCGCTAACGATTAGTTATTGCAAATATAATCGCGACATCTATGATGACACTAGAGAGTGTAGAGCTCAGGAATTTGCTCCTGGAGGGAATGCGAGTTTGATTAGTCAGGAAAGTAATAGATCTACCTTTGCGTATAAGATCGCAAAGATAGGTTACACGAATTTTCGTTATTCACTGAAAGAGTCGTATGTGGGTACGTATGAGTCGTAGGATACGTCGAGCTCAAAGAGGATAGAGCGATAAGGCAGTAATGAAGGTGCGGAATCGGTGCTAATTATTGTACTTCACGCTAATTACTGCAAGATGAGTGTGCCGATATAGCGTATCTTTCTACTATTCTACAAGTAAATTTCAAGAGTATCAGAGGTGTAATCAGGCGAAGTTTACCATCAAAGTACCCAACATGTGCCATCCCAGAGGCAAACTTCTGAGCTCTATGCAGTAAGTGTATGAAAGTTTACTCGGTACATTAAGTACTAATCGTATGTTACAAGAATAAAAAGACATCCACATTTTTGTTATAATATATCATTTTCGTTTTTCGTTATATTATAATATCGTATTATTATAATATATCCGATTTCATTATCATATGACTTTCTATGAATTTTTCATATAACTCCATAATTATATAACACGACATTCTATATTTTATATAAATAGGATAGTTAAACAAGGCTTAGCTTGAAGCTAAAATACATTTTCACCTGATACTCGAAAATATATAGAATGCTATTAAATATAACAAAATTATAAATATAAAAAATTTAGATTTATATAGAACTCTGAATATATGTATTATATAAAAGACCTTAGAAAGTATCTGGTATGAAAGAGAAAAATGTCCGTTATATTAAGATGGAAAAATAACTGGGAAAATGGCACTAGCTGTTCGGAGATGTGCAAGTGCCATCCAATATGGCCGGAGGAGGGAGTGATGTTAAAAATTCCTTTAATTTATGACGGCCATAGACTTTCGAACGTCACGCGTTGCGCGACGCATGCCAGGCCATAAAGCATCTGCTAATTGAACGTTCGAGAGCCTTTGATTTACAATGGCGTGTTTGCATACTGCTTTTCGAAGTTTTCCGCAAATGTTTCTTCATTGGTAGACGCTTCGATATATTGCTTTCCCTATGAACCAATTAAATTAAATATTCCGCGAGCAAACGAATCAGGTTTAGATGTTCCGGAAATGCAATAGTTCGCGGAACGCCCGCCATTTTGTTGAAACGCATGCCCCGTTCGAAATGACGCCTAAACGTTCAATTTTTGTGAATTTTGTTTGTAGACAGGCACTCGGATTAAAAATATTACAATGATAATGAATGTAAATAATAAATTTTCATTTTGATACCGAAATAATACTTGAAATTAAAAAGAATACTTATTAAATATATGACGGGAGTTGAAAAGTACGATTTACTAAAAAATTCCTAATATTTCGTAATTCATAAATAAAATATATTATTTAATATTGGTAAACAAATAGAATTCTATATTTTCTATACATTACTGCATTTACGTAGGAAATATATCTATAAGAGCATTCTTATTGCATTGTTTCATAATTCTTTGTATTAAATATTCGGCGGAACAAATGATACTATCTATTCCAATTACATGACTCATCCTATTTATAAAATACAATTTTATAATATATTCTACGTACACAAAAATTCGAATAATTTTCAAACGTGTAAAATATTATATTGATTAAATTAACGAAGAGGATTATGTAATTTCACAGGTGCAAGTATTATGAAGAAATCATAGAAAGTCGATATTAGTGATTCACTGTTCGAATTGTACTCACGAGTATCTTTTGCAAGGCATTGACAGATTGATTGGCCACCGGTATTCCATTAATTTCTCTGATCTCGTCACCCACGTGAAGTGTCGCTTGTCTGTGTATCATACCACCGTGCATAATTCGTGCTACCACGCATTTCCCATCCTCATTCATTTTCAAAGTGATTCCCTGTAAACAAATAAGTAACGTGGCGTTCTCATACCGTTTCTTTCAATGATTCGTTTATTTATCTCCTACAAAAAATTATCAAAGATTCTTTTCAATTTCTTTTAAATATTAACCATTAACTTCTGCAATTTTACTATTTAAATATTTAGACAAACTTTGGAAAAGAAATCAAAGACGTTTCAGAAAGAAGGATTCGAATTAGAGACATTGGAAATATTAACCCTTTGCACTCGACGATTTTTTGGCTAGAGAAGAGTAGAGATTCAAAGATTCTTTACTAAAATACTGGCGATACCCTTCTCAGCAGTAAATAAAGAATTGTATAATAATAGAATTGTAGAATTATTTGATTTCGATACCTCGCACACTGTTACATTACATTAAAGTTGATATATTAATTATTATCGATCTTCCGAATTTTATGAAATGGTGACTGAAGATCACCTCTCGAGTGCAAAGGGTTAACACTCGAATTACATTTCCTAATACACCTGTATTTAAAAAATTTTGTACTATCATATTCACTGCTATAGACGCAGATAATTAAATGTAATTTAAAAACAACATTTATTAACACTAGAACTACCAATTCAGTCCAACTGACTGGTCTCAGAATTTTCTTTTTTGCAATTACTAAAAACATATGCCTATTTAAAAAAAGAAAAAGAAAATGAGAGTTGACTAGTATTGAGATAAAACTGTAATTAATATATTTATTTATCATCATCGTACTATTAAAATTACTATTACCTATGTCCGCCCTGTTTAGGTACCCAACAAGAATCAGTAGTTTCAGTGTTAAAAGTCTCATGCAATAATACTAATCCTCGTTATTTCGATGAAACTTCTATCAAAAAACTTAAACTTAAATCCTAGAAAACTATATTTCATTGACTCTTTTTATTATAAATTAAATTAATCGTTATTTTAGTACAAATTCATCTATCTATACTCCGTTCAACGAGAATTGGCCGGAAATATAAACAAAACGATCAAGTGATCGATGTTGCGAACGTAGATAAGTGACTGTCAAACGTCGATGCTCAGGGTCGATTTTCAGAAATTCTAAACCGGGGTCCTCGTGTATAAATCAGCCAAAATTTTCCTCGAAATATTCCATGCTACGTCCGAATTAGTTCGGGTCCATGCCCATGTGCAGCTGTTTATATTTCCTGGCAATTCTTGTTGAACGGAATACAGTACCTATATATCATTTTATCTACGCGATATATTATCGTACTATATCGTCTTACCATTGGCTCATCTGTGTTCTTCTGAAACTGGACCAGCCTGACGCGCGTCACATTTTCGAGGTCCAAATCGCCGTTTTGACCATCGAGATCGTCGCCTCCGTTCAGATACGGAAGTAGAGGCGGTGGCGTGACTCTGGTTGCTTCCTCGCCATACACCTCGTGTCCCGCTACGTCATGTGCTTGCAAAAGCGCCTGGAACAGAGAAACAAACGGAGAAGGGAAATTAAAAACCAGTCAAACAGCCGGCTGACATGAAACCGAACGAAATAAAACGAGGTGCCATGCTATTTCGGCATCATGGACGCAATATTGCGTGTCGCTTGAATACAGGCTGTACGCAAACACGTGAACACCTCTGTTTTTCGTCCATAGAATTTTGGGATATTGCGATCTACCGTCACTATTTTTATTTTTTTTTCGTTTGTTCCCCTTTGCGGATTTGCTCGAAGCAAATAAGAGATAGGTGTTTGATTTATCGACCGCAAGAGTTCTAACAATGTCTGTGTTTCGAATCTTGGTACATGGAATCAGGTATTGCAGTGTTTTTAACACTGGAGCTATTTTAACGTGTGAAGCGATTAAAGTACTTTGAGAAAAGCAATCTGACGTATACACGTAAGCACAGTTCTGTCTCAATAAATGTTAACGTTAACAAATCGAATGAAAATAACAGGAAATGTATGTAACTAGAACTACTCTGATCTTCTGAAGACAAATCAAAATGGAAACTTTACCATAGAATTCAAAATTGTATAATGAATTAAAAGAGTATTAAAAATTGATTTTCTCAATGAATATTGAATAAAATTTTTGTGACAGTACCTACACTTCTTCACACTTTACGCATTCTGCCAGCAGTGTACAACGTGATTCGTCATCGTGTCAGAAATTGCAGAGCTGTGCTTGTAGTCAGAGGTGCATTAATAATTGTGCAACATGTGATCGTGACACAAGGAAAACGGAAATAGTGGAGATTACTTCGAGAGCTGTGCTTGTAGTCGGAGGTGCATTAATAATTGTGCAACATGTGATCGTGACACAAGGAAAACGGAAATAGTGGAGATTCCGAAATATTAAGCACATTCCTTGAAAATAAATATCAAAAGTTGCAGTTTCGTATTTAAACAATGGCAGTCAGAGTCTGCTGGAATAACTGAAACGCGAAAATAATTGTGCATCGTAACGCTGAAACATAGCGATTTATGCAACAATCGCTTTTACATACTTCGCGAACATTCCACTGAAAACACGTGCAATTTTTTACGGCTGCGTGAAACGTTCGCTGAATTTATAACGCGGAACCACTCCAATACACGTTTGCATAGCATAGGGTACGAAACGATCAAGAAACAAGTTCACTGACATGTAACCCTTGGCAGTTCGTGCCACGAAACGTGATTAATATTCGCGGGCAGCGATTTGCCTGATGATATTGAAAAATAGATCGCCTTACTGGCTACAAAAGTAATTATAGTAAATTTTAAAACGAGTAAAATGAAATTTTGGTAAATGAACATTGTGGAATATTATAATCTACCTGCGTCTTTTCTGTTATTGAATGACTTGGAATAGCGTTAATAATATTGTAGGCTTGATAGAAGGTAAAGGCGCACTTCTATTTTTTAATAGTGTACAAAGATTCATCTAATTTACATTCTTTATTTTTATAGGTTTGATCTGTGAATTTGGAAAGTGGATGCCAAAAAATGATAGTATAAATACAAAAATGAAATCAAATAAAATTTGCTTATTTCAGAATGAACAAATTATTTACGTGTTTTCGAGTGTTGCGCATAAATTTGGCTAGTATGTTGGGTTTGGGAGATGAATAAATAAAAAATATCCGTTTCTGCTATATTTACAAAAATTTTCAAAAGATAGCAATTTTGTTTTTAACCCTTTGCACTCGAAGGGCGCCTCTCAGTCACCATTTAATCAGATTCTAACGATGGATGTTAATTAATAAATCAAATTCACAATTATTCAACGATGCTTGGAATATCGAAATAAAATAATTCTACGTCTTAATTTGCATACGATTTCTTATTTACCGTTTTAGAAATATCGTCGACTTTATGGCAGAAAGTCTTCGAATTACTATTTTCGAACGCCGAGTGCAAAGAGTTAATAACTTTGTTTACAGAATCGTGTAGTACTACCCTATTCCTGCAAAATCTTTCAAGAATTACTATTTTCGAACGCCGAGTACAAAGAGTTAATAACTTTGTTTACAGAATCGTGTAGTACTACCCTATTCCTGCAAAATCTTTCATTGAATAATATAAACAAAATTTGTTATGTCAAGATGTACCGCTTTAAAAATATATACTCACTTCAAAGCGCTATTACTTTGTCTCGTATTGTATGTGTGTGATTGTAACATTGCCTTTGTCCAAACTAAAGAGAAATTGAGATAGGATAGGTTTATTGGCACCGAAGTTGGAAGAAACCCAAGAGAGCAATGTTTTCCAGATGTGTCGACCACCCAAGTAAAGTCAAGGCCATCTACAAGTCACCCCCACTCCCAATGATTGACTAACGTGACGTTAGGGGCCTGAGTAACGCGCTTGAAGAGTGGGGAGACTCGTTCGATAAGAGTGGGGAGGCTCACTCGACAAGAGTAGGGAGGCTTCCTCGATAAGAGTGGGGAGGCTTCCTCGATAAGAGTGGGGAGGCTTCGTCGAGAAGAGTGGAGACGGATAGTATACACTATTATCCTAGCAGATGTAGAGCGATGACTTTTCAAGGGAATTATACGAAATGAAATTTTTGCGCCAAGTATAAATGCAATACGAAAAATAAAATATAATTTTCTTGATATTTAGAAACGTTACAAGGTCCTAAAAAATTAACAATTTATCGATTAAGTTCTATTATGAATTTTTATAAAAATTATTAAGTTCAATACGTAAATGAGTACATATTTGGTTGTAACTGTAATTACAGTTCTGACTCTATAGTAATTCTTATGACAACTATTTCTGATTTTTCACAGACTGATTCCTCACTGTCTATTTTTTTGCAGACATAAAAGAGGGTCCAAAATAATATTTCATTATAATATGCAAAGTGTTAATATACCTCATTTGTTATAGAAAATAGTTTCTGCTAAAATTCAATATAAAACTTTTAATCATAAAGAAAGAGATAATGAGCGAGTCTCTGGTATAATAAAAATTTTGAAAACAATTATTAGCATCACGGAAATAATATATTAAATGCCTCACCTCTCTCTTTTCTTTGGAGATTATAATACACTTTCATACGCCACGTGAATACGTTTATTTGAATAACAATAATTTTCGAAAACATGCGAGAAATCTCTTCCATAATATCGGCTCTCCAAACATTTCAGCTTCTGCTACTACGCTGATAGACCTTGTTAGTGGAACGCATGCATATGCCATAAATTCACGTCCCAAGTACACTGCTTCTTCATTGGGATATAATTACTACTTCAGAAGTTACGTATATACTTAAAAAATTATGAAAACAAATATTTGAATATGAAAATACGAAATTTAACAGGACTAAATCAATCTTGTTTCTCATGATCTAAAATAAAAAAGGAAAATAAAAATTTATATATATGTATATAAAATTAACAACATGAAGAACGAGAAAAATTGTTATATATTTTTGACGATATATATTGAAAGTGTTATGAATTCTATTTTTTATTCCTCATACGTTCTAGGTTTCACTGACAATGTCGTTTAAATACAATATATTGATTTAATGGTGCAGCATTCGTATTGTACTAAAATTGCAACCGGATCTCCTATAAACAATTGCTCGTTCAATGTCGATTTGAAACTGTTATTCGTTAATAATGCGCGTGAAATTCATTAGCCATTATTGGTAGCTGTCAATGGTATTGTATAACTGTCATTGTTCATTTCCTAGAAATAATAAACTTACTAACGATTTCCTTTAACAAATGATATTATATTTACGCCATTGGTTTCCAGCAGACCATAAAATTCATATAGACATAAAAACACAGATTCTTCATTAACAATTTTATTTCATACTTCGTGTTATGGATTGAAAATTGCCTAACATCAGAAAATTTTGTATTTTAACGACTGATAAAATTAAAACTATGATAAACTTTCATAATACATCATTTTAATACTGCCAGGTAATTTACTAGAAGGTGTTGTTAGAAAAATGTCTTACAATTATATAATAGATAAACAGAATTTATGGCGAAATTCTCGGCGAAAAAATAAGACAAAAGCATAATCTAACATTTCTTCATACGATGCTTCGTCCTCGAGAAAATCGTCCACAAACATTCGCGGAGTAGGCATCAAGCGAACGCCCACCCAACGAACACTTAAAGTCAATTTTCTCGAAAAAATGGCTTCATATAAAAAAATTTTATTCCACATTTTCGTTTCATTTTTTCATGCAGAATCAACCCTTTACCATTCACACCGCAATTTCAAACACTACGATATATTTCGTCACGTGTTTCACTCAACGCGTAACCTGTCATTAACAGTAGCAACCAGGTTCTATTGAACTACAGAACTGCATAGATATTGCCACACACCGCGAAGCCATCAAATAAAGCAAACAAACCGTCTAGGGACACGTTAATCAACGACTAATCAACGAATCCGGAATCCCCGATCCGACACAGCTGACTGCATCATCATACAAATAACAGCATTCGCAAACATCCTCTATCGAACTGATCCCCAATCTCCTGCAACGGAAAAACCCGAGATCTCTCGACACGAAGTCATCCGCACGGCATTAATTCTCTGGAAGACAGACGAGCATCGGGGAACACTCGAAAGTAGCCGGACGAAGTAGCGGAGGAGGCTGCGTTGACTCTTCCCATCATCGATTTCCAGCACCGCGACATCGACACATTCAATGGTCCTCTGAGTCCCTTTCAAGCTACGTAATGAGAGAAGAGTCACGTCGGTCGGTTTGAAAAGCGGAAGAGAAAAAAGGGAAAAAGGGAACGGGGGCAGAAGTGGAGGCAGCTTGTTCCGCGACGTACGATATGGCATGTCGCGCGAAATGCTACGTTTCCAGAGGAGGTGTCGGAATAATTCGTTGGAATGGTGCCAGTGTCAGAAGAGCGTAGGGCGCGTCGATGGTAGGCCAGGCCCGAGCGTTGCGAAGCGGTTCCCGCGCGATCTCGCATGTGCAACCCCTAAATAGGGGTGCTA